TGTAAGAATTACTAAAAAATTTGTCGGGTGAACACAGACTTTATTGGCTTATGTGTATGTATTTCCTTTTCAAGTACTCTCAACTAACTATTTTTTATTATGTATATTGCCGATTGGCGTAGTCAATAAATGAATAAATAAACATGTACGCGAACCTACTCCCTCAGTTTTTGTGATATCGATCTGAAATTTTGCACAGGTTCTTTTCTCCTCAAGAAAAGAAAATAAGACATTTGGCTCGGAGGATTGTTCAAATAAATAATAGTGTAAAAAAACTAAAAAAAAAACACGCTTTTATAACTAATCGAACTAAAAATTAGGAAATAATTTTTAATTACAAAGAGTTTATATTATAGTAGTAGCAGATCAAACAATCAATCATGATTAATTACTTTAAAATAAAATTATAATAAAATTAGAGTTACTAGGACAATAATTCAAAAAACATGGGGTGCCTTTTACTATACTTTCATAATTTTTTACTAAATTTTTATAACTCTCCTCTCATGAATAGTTGCACCCCACGCTCAGTTTATATAAGGAATTTGTTTTCGCTTTTTGGTTTGAAGTCGTTTAGAAGCGTGTTTTTTAGTTTTTTTAAAACTATATTATGGTAGGTTTTTCACTTTTTAGTTTAATGTTCTTAAAATACATGTTTTTAGTATTTTAAACCATAGTTATTATTTAGCTTCACGTAGTTTTTTGACTTTTTTTAAGGATGCGTTTGACTAAATTTGTTATTAAAATGGCAGCCTGGATCGTTGATGCTTTTAGCTGCATAGCTTTAGGGGCATTTTTGGATAGTACAAGGTGGCAACACTTCAAGCTCTTAAGCTGGAGTTTTTTGGTTGTGAACTTTTGTGTTTTTATTTTACAAAATTCTTCAAGTTTAATTGATTTTTTTTTTTACTGATTTAGTACAATTTTTAGTGATTTAATTTAATTTCAGTTGCAAGATAAGTAATAAATGTTCTTAAGTTTTGTGCAGTATTAAAAAGTTTAAGCTTTCGAATTTTTGGTCCCGAGTCAGCTTTTTGTTTCATTTTGTTTTATTTTATTCTATTTTCTCTCATTATTTATCTCATTTAGTTCTTTGTTCACAGCTGTGTTGCCTATAGCTTTTTATTTGTTACAGTGCTTCTAAAACTGTTCGCTATATTGCTTTTTAAAATTGTCTTGGTTTTAAACTTTGATAAAATTGCTATTATTTTTGCGTTTGTTCTTAATTGAATTTATTATTATTAATATTTTATTAACACACTAATTTATTATATATCTATTAACTTTTGTTTTACTTACTCGTTTATTTGATCTTCTTTCTTGTTGATTATCATGTCTTGTAACTTCCCCAATTGTAACATTAAAGGCGAGTCAGATCGCTACGTTTCATGCTGGGTTTGTGATGGGCTTGCCCATATTAAATGTGCTGGACTGACAGGTAGAATCTTAGATTCTATTCTCGACTGTAAGGGATTGCGTTGGTCCTGTTTAAATTGTAGATCTATTGAAATCGATCTTTTTGAAGTTTATGGGGGGACACGCAATGGTTTTAACGAAATCGGTCGAGATCTTGTAACCCTCACTGAAAAATTTAGGCACTATGAAAAATTGTTCAAATCTTTAAAGTGCCTGAATGATTCTCACGAATCTTCTAAACCTGCTCCTAAGCGTAAACGTCCTTCCGATGAAGTAATACTTAGTTCTTCTGTACAGAATGGAACGTCTCCTCCCAATGACCTAATAAATCTCTCTTCTCCTTGCCCTCAAGGTGATAAGCCGTCAACTTCCAAAGAGCTCAATTCCCCAAAAGCTCAGTTCCAGTTTTATTTTCTATATAAATGGATTTACATAAACTTGACTCATCTATGTATACAGATGCAGCATGCTTCTTTAATAAATAGTGCTACCTCGATGGCAAATAATGCAGATTCAATAATTGTATTAGGTGATTTCAATTTACCGTGTGCTTCGTGGAAACCTTTCGATGACTATATCCTGCCGATTTGCAATTGGTCATGTTTTAATGAGTTTTTCGAAAAATTGTCCGAGTTGGGTCTGAACCAAACTAATTTGATTCCCAATAAATTTGGTAAATGCTTAGATTTAGTATACGTTGATGCCTCTTCAAAGTGTTCTGTTATTCAGAGTAATCATCTTGTTCTACCAGAGGACTCATGTCATCCTGCTTTCGAAATCTCAGGCAATGTATGGGATAATTATCATCAAACTTCGTGCGTCTGTACTCGGTTTAACTTTGCAAAAGCTAATTTTAAAAAGTTAAATACAGAACTTTCTACAATAACATGGCCTAGTTATAATGGTGACTTTGTATTGAGTGTCTCTCATTTCAATTACATTATTACGAAATTATTTGAAAAGTATGTTCCAATAGTAATTGATAATTAAAGTATAAGTCCGTGGTTTTCGAAAGAGTTATATAAATTGAAAAACAGAAAAACTCTAACCTTTAAACATTTAAAAAAAACTGGTTCACTTGTCGACTATTCTAAATTTTCTCTATTGCGTCGACAATAGTTTGACCTAAACAAAAAATAGAATATTGTAAGTAATCCAAAATCATTTTATGATTTCGTCAACTCCAAACGCAGGATTTTCAAATTTCCGTCCGCGATGAAATACAAATATATCATTTCAAGTGACAATGATATATCCAATATGTTTGCAGAATTTTTCAAGTCAAACTACTGTAATAATTCTTCCACAACTTTTTCTTATCAGCTCGTGCTGTGTTCGAATACTTTAATTAACGCTCCAATTATTTCTGAAGAAGACGTCCTACTTAATTTAAATAAGTTACAACCATCTTTAAGTTATGGCCCAGACATGATACCCTTATGCTTCCTAAAAAATAGTGCCAAATATATTTACTTGCCTTTGAAAAGGATATTTAATTCCTCTCTTAAACACGGTGTATTTCCTTCAATATGGAAACAGTCATTTATAATTCCTTTGCATAAAAGTTTATATAGATCCAACATTGAAAACTATAGAGGTATCGCAAAACTATCAGTTATACCTAAACTTTTTGAAGCTATCATCACTGACCACATAACCTTTTTGATTTCTCCGTTAATTTTCTCATCTCAGCATGGATTTCGTAAAGGGAATTCGACTATAACAAACTTACTTGAATTTGTATACCATGTATCATTGGGTTTTAGGGAACATAAGCATATGGGCTGCTGAGCTTTCAGCCGAGATTCCTTCAATGGGTAGCTTCCTATCCTTATGATAGAACACAACGAGTGATATTTGAGGATACACCTTCAGATACAATTAATGTTTCTTCAGGTGTTTCGCAAGGTAGTCATCTTGACCCTATTCTATTCTTGTTGTATATTAACGATATCTCTTCAGTAATTGAATTCTCAAAAATTTTATTATACGACGTAAAGCTTTTTAAATCATACACTTCAACTGAAGAAAGGTGTCTGTTGCAAACAGACTTAAAAAATTGTGTTGCATGGTGTGATAGAAATGATTTGCCATTGAATCTCAATAAATGTAAGATGATGTGGTCGGTCGGTGAAGGTGTTAATGGCTCCACTATGAATGGCGGTCAGTGCCTGTCTGAATATGGCTCTGTTGTATGGAACCCTAGCTATCAAATCCATTCTGACAAGTCTGTTCAAAAACAATTTTTACTTTTCGCCTTTCCGATGGGATTCTAGGGTAAGTCTACCTCCATACACTAGTCGTTTAAAACTTATTAATCTACCTACACTTTCTAGTCGTAGGGAAATGCTTGGCATAATATTCTTAGTGAAAATCTTGAATGGAACAGTTTGCAGTTCTTTTTTCCTGTCTGAAATTAAATTTAATATCCCGGTTCGCCTTTCGAGGCAGTTTAGACCTTTACTGCTAAAATCCTGTAGATCAAATTTTGAACTAAACGAGCCATTCCGCCGTGTATGTCATGATTTTAATTCTCATTCCAGCACATTTGACTTATCTGACTCAATTTTCAAAATTAAAAAGACTTTGTCGTTTTCTCTTAATAAATGAAAATGTAACAATTTATTTTATTGTAACTTTAAGTCTTAGCTGTTGAAATTTTTGTTTCTGTAGCTGAGCAGTTTTAGATCTCAACACTTAAAAAACTTCCTTGCTTGGGCGGGAGGAGGGTAATCGTTGGGCTATTATTATACATGCTTGTATTTGGATAGTAACTGCTTTTAGCTGCATTGTTTTATAGTCGTTGTACGTCGTCCATTTTCAAAGTGTGTGATAGGAATGGCTGTGTAATCTCTCATACATAAGTTGGTAGACATTAGTTTGATAGTTTCTGAGATATAGGATTTCACCCAAAATTTGGTGGTGCCACGCCCATTTTAAAATTTTTACACCTCCTCCTATAAAGCTCTTCCCCAACATCTTGTTTGTGAAATTTAATGCTTATGCACTGAAGGCAGGCTTATATTTCATCAGTTATCGCACTTTTATTATCTTTTAACATAACTGTTATATGGGGAGTTGGCGTGGTAATTATCTGATTTTACCCATTTTCACAGCGTATGAAAAAGTGCTAAAAGGACTTTCAAATTATTGCATTGTCATCGGTCTTTGACACGTCTGCAAAGTTTCAAGTGTACAACCGAAGCGTATAAAAGCGTATTAAAAACGGTTTATTGTTCGAAACAAATTTTTCAGATCGGACCGATAAAAATCCAGTTCTGGAAAACAAAGTTAGTGTTTTTTCTTGTTAAGATTTTTTTTTTATCATTTCTGTCAATTAAATTTTACATCACTTGTGCAATGTGCGTAAATATTACATGAACAAATGTAAAACTAAATAATACCAATGATTTTATGTTAGTATAGAGATATAGAGTACAAAAGTTATCCTAATTTTAAAAAGTGACCTGCAGTTGCCAAATCCTATTTTTATTGTATTTGTATATTGATATTTTTGCTTTTGAAATAGTTGATGATTATAATGCATCCTTTTAATATTGAATATGACGATTTTATTTATACAGTTTGTTCAACCGAGCGTTACTAACAGTTCCACCCAAGTACATACAAATTCAGCGAGTAGTTTATATCGAGGACCTTCCGCAAGTCCAGCACCTCGCAATGGTACTCGTCATGTTCCGATGCCAGCTATGTATCCACAAACAATGCATCAAAGTGTTGTTGTGCAGCCATTCCCGCAATATCAGCGGCAGGCATTTCCAGCGCCACCGTATGCACAATACCCACAACCACTGCAACCAAATTATCCATACCCATATCCGTCGTACTACCCTGTTCCTTCACAGCGTGGTGGCGTAGGTGTTACTACTGGTGTTAGCAACACAATGACAGGACCAAATGGTCCGATGTCAGGCGCAACACAAACACAAATGCCATTGGCGCCCGGAACAGTGCTAACTGCAAGTGCAGTTCCACCTGGGACCAATCCTACGGTATTAGGCGTAGCCCCAAACCCTAATGGACAACAAGTAGCCGTTCAGTCAATTGTAGGTGTTGTACAATCGGCAGTTCCCACACAACCTAGCCAAAAGTCAACTCGCAGACGACTCCATGCTATCAAAATAATTGATCCAAACACAAATAAGGACATCTTTGAAGATTATGATGGAACAAAGGTATAATCCATTCATATTTTTAAAATCGTAATTGTATTTAAATGTTTTTGCAGGCATCGTCCAGTTCTGATATTGAGTATCCCGAACAAAACATGTATGCCCCGCAACCGATTATTATGGCTGAACAACTGCGTAATATACCATATGAGATGATGGGTACGTATCCTAAGAATATAGACGAACTTAACTAGCAGTAATCTATATACATTTTCAGACATGCCACTTATGTCTCGGGATGGAGCTCTTAGCCAGACTCCAATTGTGTCTGCAATATCAGATGGTCCTTCTGTAGAAATCCTGCCTTCAGTGCAAAAGCCTCGAAGTAAAAAGTGAGTTCATTTTAAGTAACATTTTTATAAGTTGAAAGTTGTGCATACCGACTCTGAAATCACTCATTAAAAAGTGATATTTTTGAAGTAGTTGAAAGTTGTGCATACCGACTCTCAAATCACCGTTTCGATAAAAACGCATGTGAAGTTTAAAGATATCTTCTCATTAAATTAAAAAATGGTATCTTTTATATCTATTCATATACTTAATTACAGTTACTGACAATAAATTAGAATCAAACATTTTTTTTTAGTTAATAAAATTTATTTTTAACATTTCAAAAGCAGAAATAACGTAATAAAATTTCAAGAATTATTAGCAGACTAATTTTAAAGGAACTGTCAGCGATTTCTTTTGACAATAAAATAGAATCATGGAACCTAAACTCGTAAATAGTACACTATTATAATTAAAAAATTATTTGAAGTTAGAATTTTGTTGCAAAACCTTTATTTGAGGATACGGAAGCGCACCTTTTCAGCATAGATTCCACTAGAGCTTTACAGACTGCATTCGGTATTGAATACGACGCCTCTTGGACTTTTTCCCATAGTTCGGCCTTATTTCGTGGTATAATGGGTCCCAACTTATCTTCCGCAATCTAGCACAGGTTTTCTATAGGATTTCAATCCGCAGATTGCGCCGGCTAAGTCATAACATCGATTCCCTGATTATTGATCGTATAACCAAGTCTTGATCACATCCGAGTCATGCTGGAAATGCCAAACTAAAGGCATGTTCCATTCAGCATTACATCTTCTAAAATTCTTAGGTAGTGACAACGGTCCATGATTTCCCAAATGCAAAACAGCTGTCCAACTCCGTACAACCAAAAATATCCCTATATCATAATATTACCACCTCCGTGTTTGAATATTTTTTTTGTGTATCGGGAACTCATTTCAGAATTCTTCGGACGTCAAACCCAATCTTTTCCATGGCTACCTACCATATTTATTTTAAAGTCATCGGACCAAAGGATCTAATGCCACATATTTTTTTTTGGCGACGCGCAACAGTTCTCGAAAAAATGATTACACCCAATTCTCTTTGGATAGCTATAGAGGACTTGAAATCATCGCGTTTTGATAAAAACTATGTAATTGTCTTTCCTCGGCCCATTTCTTCTACAAATAAAACTTAATTGTAACAAAATGTCAAGTTTAAACAACCCTCAAGATTATATACTTACAATGTAATTTTTTACTATTACCTATAATTCATATTTTTATTGTTTGGATACTATTTTTATTTTTATTATTGCAAATACACACATATGTTTAATTTGAATACAAAGATAACAGTAAAATGTAACAGAGCTACCATCATGATGTTTTAAAATATAAATATTGTAGGAATCGATTACAGGCAAAACCTATCCGAAATTTAATTTTATGAATTTTATATTATACTAGAGGTCCCCGTCCACGCGTTGCTGTGGCTAAGGTATACATTAATTACATACTATTCAATACAGTAAGTTTGTTTGATTTGCTCTTATATATCGTTGACTTGCAGTATTTCGAGTTCAGCGGTCTTAGTTTGTACGTCTGCTTGGTGGCATTTTTAAAAATGAAAATCCAACTGAAAATAAAAAATTGCTCCTCTATATTTTCTGTTTAACCATGTATACGAATTTTTAATATTGTGTAGTCATCAAAAGTTACTAAAAATCGATATTAAGCTGTGAACTTACCGTGATTAACAAAACCTTATTAGCAAACAACAAACTTCTTAGTCTTTAAAACAAAACAAACTTTATCAAAAACTTAATAAAATTATTGTTAGCGCTATGTTAGGTTATGTGTGTCAGATAATCACAGATTACTAAATAGGTTATGCGAAGTTTGTATACTGCGTTCTGAAATCTAACTCATAGTATACATATTTTATTATTATTAAATACTTACATTAAAATGAAATCATCACTGGTATTATTAATATTACCGTCAAAGTCAGTACGTTTAATTGTTGCGAGTAATTTTCAAAAATTAGTAAATTAGTGCGATAGAATTTAATTAAGTAACTACATTTCCGAACAAACGATACTCTTTCAATATGGTCTATGGCTGTGAATGACGGTGACATTCGTTACTTAAAACGTTTTTTATAATATGCAAAATTAAATGCTTTTTTTTTCAATATTTCTGAGACATTTTCTTAATATTTTTATACTCTCGCAACCTGTTGCTACAGAGTATAATAGTTTTGTTCACCTAACGGTTGTTTGTATCACCTAAAACTAATCGAGTTAGATATAGGGTTATATATATATAAATGATCAGGATGAAGAGACGAGTTGAAATCCGGGTGACTGTCTGTCCGTCCGTCCGTCCGCCCGTGCAAGCTCTAACTTGAGTAAAAATTAAGATATCTTTATGAAACTTATTAGACATGTTTCTTGGTACCGTGAGACGGTTGGTATTGCAGATGGGCGTAATCGAACCACTGCCACGCCCACAAAACGCCATTAATCAAAAACAAATAACTTGCCATAACTAAGCTCCGCAATAAGATACAAGACTGTTATTTGGTACACAGGATCACATTAGGGAGGGGCATTTGCAGTTAAATTTTTTTTTTTTTAAGTGGGCGTTGTCCCGCCTCTAATAGTTAATGTGCATATCTCCTAAACCGCTAATGCTATAATAACAAAATTCACTGGAAGCAAATGTTTTTAGCACTTCTATTGACGGTGTGAAAAAAGTTGAAAACGGATGGCAACTCCGCCCACTCCCCATATAACGGTACTGTTAAAAACTACTTAAAGCGCGATAAATCAAGCACCAAACCCGCTAGAGACATTAAATTTTATCTCTGGGATGGTATGAAATGACTTTATAGGAACCGCGTTCAAAATTAGACAGTGGGCGTGGCACAGCCCACTTTTAGGTGAAAACCTATATCTTGAGATCTGCTTAACAGATTTCAACCAAATTCGGTGCAAAACGTTCTTTTCATGTTTCTATGCCATAGTGCGAAAATGGGCGAAATCGGACTACAACCACGCCTACTTCCCATATAACACCATTTTAAATTCCATCTGGATTCTTTTACTTTCCACTATGCAAATCAGGCAACAATGTCTGTATCAGGATAAAACTTTGCGTGAATAATGCGATTAAAGTATGCCACCTTGTGGCCAAAAATTGTCTAAATCGAATCAAAACTGTTTAAGCCCCTAAGTACCAAATATGTGGACCCCAGTGCCTATAGTTGACCTTCTACCGAAAATATTAGTCAATCCACAAAGAAATCTCAAACGAGTATACTATTTGACTTTGCGAGAGTATAAAATGTTCGGTTACATCCGAACTTAACCCTTCCTTACTTGTTTTCCGTAAGAACCTTCTACAGAGCCAAATCGGTCTAGCCATTCTCAAGTTATTTCGTGACAACGGGAAACGGGTTTCATTTTTATATATATACAGACTAGAAGCCCGACAGATGTTCTCCTGTTCCACGTTTTAAATGTAAACTTTTTGAAATTAGCTATAACAATTAGACCATTTTGATGGAAATTTTTATTAGAAACTTATTACAATATCAAACGTCATTCATATATATTTCTCACAATCCGACCAATCGATAGCGTGTCAATATGTATATAAGAATGTTTTCATAGATGTTAATTGCAGAAGCTGTATTGAATGAAAACTTGAAGTCGTTTTAATTGATTGTGAAAAGGTTGAATCCATTCTATAACGTATTTATTCTTAGAGTAAAATATCTACAAAAACTGAAGTTATCGTAATGCCATAGGATATACAATATTTTTGGTTAATCCTTGAAAGGTATAAACAAATAAATTCGATGGTTTTTCTACTCTAGAGCACGCAACGTATAATTGGCCGTGAGAAAAGCACGGATTTTCTAAATCTAATCGACAAATCCTCATTGTTTGACCTTGTGCCTTATTAATAGTCATCGCAATTGCCAAGCAGATGGGTATTCGTAAATGTTTAAATGGTACCGGCGAACCTGAAGGAATCATTGGAATCCGGGGAAAAAGTACAACTTCACCTTGAAATTTTCCACTCAAAATAGTGGTTTCAAAAATGTTGCCCATGATTTTTTTATGACTAATCCTCATTGGTCCTTGTGCATTTGTTATAGTATTTCATTTATATAAAACATGCAACGTCTTCGCGGAAGAACAAGAAATATAATATAAACAAATTTATTATATATATTTATACTCTCGCAACCTGTTGCTACAGAGTATAATAGTTTTGTTCACCTAACGGTTGTTTGTATCACCTAAAACTAATCGAGTTAGATATAGGGTTATATATATATAAATGATCAGGATGAAGAGACGAGTTGAAGTCCGGCTGACTGTCTGTCCGTCCGTCCGTCTGTCCGTCCGTCCGTCCGTGCAAGCTCTAACTTGAGTAAAAATTGAGATATCTTTATGAAACTTGGTAGACATGTTTCATGGTGCCGTGAGACGGTTGGTATTGCAGATGGTCGTAATCGGACCACTGCCACGCCCACAAAACGCCATTAATCAAAAACAAATAACTTGCCATAACTAAGCTCGGCAATAAGATACAAGACTGTTATTTGGTACACAGGATCACATTAGGGAGGAGCATCTGCAGTTAAAATTTTTTTTTAAAAAGTGGGCGTGGTCCCGCCTCTAATAGGTTTAATGTGCATATCTCCTAAACCGCTAATGCTATAATAACAAAATTCACTGGAAGCAAATGTTTTTAGCACTTCTATTGACGGTGTGAAAATCGTTGAAATCGGGTGGCAACTCCGCCCACTCCCCATATAACGGTACTGTTAAAAACTACTAAAAGCGCGATAAATCAAGCACTAAACACGCCAGAGACATTAAATTTTATCTCTGAGATGGTATAAATTGGCTTTATAGGAACCGCGTTCAAAATTTGTCAGTGGGCGTGGCACAGCCCACTTTTAGGTGAAAACCCATATCTTGAGATCTGCTCAACCGATTTCAACCAAATTCGGTGCATAACGTTCTTTTCATGTTTCTATCTCATAGTGTGAAATCGGACAACAACCACGCTTACTTCCCATGTAACACCATTTTCAATTCCATCTGATTCTTTCACTTTCCACTATGCAAATCAGGTAACAATGATTATATCGGGGTAAAACTTTGCGTGAATAATGCAATTAAAGTATGCCACCTTGCGGCCAAAAATTGTCTAAATCGAACCAAAACTGTTCAAACCCCTAAGTACTAAATATGTGGACCCCAGTGCCTATAGTTGACCTTCTACCGAAAATATCAGTCAATCCACAAAGAAATCTCAAACGAGTATACCATTTGACTTTGCGAGAGTATAAAATGTTCGGTTACATCCGAACTTAGCCCTTCCTTACTTGTGTATATTTACATATTTTTTAGTTTTGTATATTCACTATATCCATATAGAGTAGCATAGCAGTATGAATGTTTAGACACTATACACCATACACATGTCTATAGTCTCAATAGTTTAAACTATACCTATGCTTTCTTAGAATCTAATCTAAGCGCCATCTACCAGGCTCAAATATTCTATTGAATATCTGACACAACTGTAGCGCAGTCTATCGGATCCAATGTAAAAGATTCCAAAATTAAAAACTATTTATAAATATTTAGTTATATAAACATTTTCAAATAGACCAAATTGTGAATCTAATCCATCCTCGAATCCCCTTAAACTCTAAATTTCATCAAAATGGGTCTAGCCGTCTAGGAGGAGTTTAGCGACATACACACGCACACAAGAAATATTTATCTAAAGATTATCTTTTTGCTTTTTAATTCTATTTTATTGTCAGTAACTCTATATGCCCATTGAAAGAATTGATTTTTGGAAAAAGCTAACTAGGCGTAACCCTTTAACCAAAATTTTGAAGATAAATATTTGTGAACACACAGGAGTTTCTTCTACAGATCCCTCTCCTTATCTTATGTTGTTATTCTACAAACGTTTTTTTTTTTTTGCAGAATTCTTCCTATCATAAATCCAAGGGATGTAAATTCTGTACACGCTACGGGTGAGTAAATCTAAAAACAGTTAAAGCAATAAACGTATCACAATCCCTATCTCACATACTTCATATTAGTTTTTAAGACTGAATTAAAAAATAGTGATAATGGGATATATTTTCATATCATCAGTCTGTTCCGTGTGTCAGACCATAATACGCCGGAATGTCACATCAGTCAAGTGCAATTCTTGTACTGGCTGGTGTCACTTTCTGTCGTGTTCTGGCCTGCGCACCACACGAGAGTGGAGTGCGTCGTATGTTGCCCCATGCTGTGGGAGTCTGCCCTCGCAATCACAAACAGTGGCGTCGCCAACCAACGCCATAGTGCGACAACCGCCCATGCGGATAGCACAGCTGCAACAACCACCACCTACACGCACCCCACTCACCCCCAGGATCACGACTGGACACCCGCGACAAACGCGACTCTTACAATTTAACTGCAACGGACTCCAGAGCAAGATCGAGGAGATAGTTGCATTTATGAGCCGGGAGCGCGTAACGATAGCTGCGGTCCAAGAAACCAAGTTAAACAGCCGCTCAGATCTTCTGAGTTGTGCAGGTTTCAACGTTTTACGTAAGGATCGCGAGCGGGATAATGGTGGAGGCCTAGCCTTCATATTGCACAACACCGTGCAATATCGTCTAATCGATGTTGACATCGACCGCAGGGACACCACCCTAGAATGTCAGGGTATAGCTGTCCGGTCAGGCGATGTCGAGCTCGAAATATTTAATATATACATCCCCCCAGTTACATGTTGCCCAACAGGATATCACCCGAATATAGATGCGCTACTTCGTGGTGAAAACCGTCTGGTGCTAGGCGACTTTAACGCGCATCACGATCTTTGGCATTCCTGCCTGTCAAACGATCGTAGGGGGATGGAGCTGGCGGAACAGATAGACGATTCGACATTCTGCACAATGAACGACGAAGCCCCCACCAGAATTATGGGCACCTGTAATATCTCGCCAGATATTACCATCGCTAGCGGTGGTCTGATAAATAGTATAACCTGGCGACCTATGCTAACTCTTGCATCAGACCATCTGCCCATAATTATCTCGATCGAGAAACCTCCTGACTTTATTTCTGTGGATAACCGCACCTATGTTAACTTTAACAAAGCTAACTGGGTCGGCTTCACAGAATTTACTGAGAGCACCTTCAACGCACTATCCATTCCTACGGACGTCATCGTTGGCGAGCGTCAATTCCGCAAGGTGGTCGCTGCTGCTACAGCTCGCTTCATACCGGCTGGAAGAATAGCGGAACTCCGCCCTAATTTCCCAGCCGAAGCAGCTGTATTAGCAAATGAGCGCGACACCTTACGCCATGCCGAGCCCTGTGATCCCCGAATAAGGGATCACAATTTGGAGATTCGGCAAATGGTAAACCATCATAAGCGGACAAAATGGATAGAGCACCTGAAGTCCTGCAACCTCTCCGGTGTGAGTAAGCTTTGGACTACTGTCAAGGCCCTGTCAAATCCGAGGAAACATGACGATCGGGTTGAAATTCAATTCGATGGCCATGCCTCCTCGGACCCGAAGAAGTGCGCGAGCTACTTTAGCCGGCAGTTTATACTGCACCCTTCGACCGACAAGGCCAAACGATGTGTTACCCGACGGCCGCGCAAAATGCCAAAAGACTGCGCACCACTTACTTTCACCGATGGGGAGGTTCAGAGTGTCATCAAAAAGGCGAAATCGTCTAAATCCATCGGCCCTGACGGAATAAGCATGCTGATGTTAAAACATCTAGGCCCAACGGGAGTAAACTACCTCACCAAGGTCCTCAACCTGTCGATATCCACTCTTCAAATACCTGATGTGTGGAAAGTCGGAAGAGTGGTCCCACTGCTGAAACCTGGGAAACCCGCCAACAAAAGGGGAGTCTTATCGCCCGATAACTCTCCTTTCCCCAGTAGTGAAGACACTTGAGGCCTTGTTACTCCCGTCATTCACCCACCACCTGAGCCTAGCAGACCATCAGCATGGCTTCCGTAAAGTGCACAGTACCACCACAGCACTTAGCGTCATAAACGCCCAGATAGTTCATGGCCTGAACCAGAAGCCACCCTGCGAGAGGACGATTCTCGTAGCGTTGGACTTGTCAAAAGCTTTTGACACAGTCAATCACGCAACGCTACTTGAGGACCTGGAACAATCAACGCCCCCTCCAGGGCTGAAGCGGTGGACCATGAACTACCTGAGCGGTCGACACTCATCCGTACTATTTCGAGGTCAAAACTCCAAACTCAGGAAAATTAAACAGGGGGTTCCGCAGGGCGGTGTCCTCTCCCCGCTACTGTTTAATTTCTACATTTCGAAACTCCCCCAGCCACCAGCGGGAATTTCAATGACCTCGTACGCAGATGACTGTACGATATTGACGTCGGGCAATGGAATCGATGGCATGTGTTCAAAAGTAAACGGCTACCTCTCCGATCTTTCTCGCTTCTTTTCTGCAAGGAACTTAACACTCTCCCCCACCAAATCCACAGCGACCATCTTCACCAATTGGACGAAGGAGTACAGACTGGACCCGAACATTTCAGTCGATGGCACAAAAACTCCGACAGTAAATAACCCTAAAATTTTAGGCGTCACTTTGGACAGTCTGTGCTCTTTCACTCCTCATACGACCGCGTTAACTGCCAAAGTACAGAGCCGCAACAAAATCCTCAAGTCGCTTGCCGGCAGCTCATGGGGAAAGGACAAAGAAACGTTGTTGGCAACATACAAGGCAATCGGCCGGCCGGTCCTCAATTATGCAGCCGCAATATGGTCGCCTGGATGCAGTGACACGCAGAATAAGAAGCTTCAGACTTGTCAGAACACTGCACTCCGGACTATCACGGGGTGCCTCTTGATGTCCCCAATCGAACACCTACATAGCGAGGCCCGTATGCTTCCGGTTAAGGAACATAACGAGCTCCTCTCCAAGCAGTTTCTGCTGGGATGTTTTCGCAGAAACCACCCCTGCAGACGCCTGCTTGCAGCGGAGCAGCCTCCTAGGAACATCAAGATCTCCTTCCTTGACTACGTCGACGACATCAGACAGCACGCCGACCAGACTTCGGACGCAACTAACTTCAGACAAGCACTGACCGCCATTCACAGTGGAGCCATTAACACCTTCACCGACTCCCTTTCAGTGAATGGCGTAATACGAGTCAAACCACCACCCATTGCAGACACAGAGCTCGAGTTGCCTCGCGAATCTAGAGTGACCCTCGCGCAACTTCGTTCTGGATACTGTAGCAGGTTAAACTCCTACCCATCCAGAATAGACCCTGACATACCAAACACATGTCCTGCATGCAATGAGTCTCCGCATGACACTAACCACCTCTTTGCATGCCCAACAAACCCCACTCATCTAACACCCCTTTCCCTATGGTCCGACCCCGTCGAAACATCTCGTTTCCTGGGCCTTCCGTTAGATGACCGCGACGACAACGATCACCCAAACGGGGATTAGATAATCGTTATAACAACAACAACAGGACGATCCTCGTAGCGTTGGACCTGTCAAAAGCTTTTGACACAGTCAATCACACAATGCTACTTGAGGACCTAGAACAATCAACGCGTTGGACCATGAACTACCTGAGCGGTCGGCATTCATCCGTACTGTTTCGAGTCCAAAACTCCAACCTTAGAAGAATTAAACAGGGGTTCCACAGGGCGGTGTCCTCTCCCCACTACTGTTTAATTTCTACATTTCGAAAATCCCCCAACCACCAGCGGGAATTTCCGTGACCTCGTACGCTGATGGCTGCACGATATTGACGTCAGGCAATGGAATCGACGGAATGTGCTCAAAAGTAAACAGCTACCTCTCCGACATGTCTCGCTTCTTCTCTGCAAGGAGTCTGACACTCTCCGCCAATAAATCCACAGCGATCATATTCACAAATTGGACGAGAGAGTAGAGACTGAACCTGAACATTTCAGTCGATGGCACAAAAATTCCGACGGTTAATAACCCTACAATTTTAGGCGTAACATTGGACAGTCTGTGCTCCTTCGCTCTTCACACGACCGCGATAACTGCCAAAGTACAGAGCCGCAACAAAGTCCCCAAATCGCTTGCCGGCAGCTCTTGGGGAAAAGACAAAGAAACGTTGTTGGCAACATACAAGACAAAAGGCCGGCCGGTCCTAAACTATGCATCATCAATATGATCGCCTGCATGTACTGCAACGCAGACGAGGAAGCTTCAGACTTGTCAGAACACTGCACTCCGGACTATCACGGGATGTCTCTTGATGTCCCCAATAGAACACTTGCACAGTGAGGCCCTTATACTTCCGGTTAAGAAACATAAGCTCCTCTGAAAGTGTTTTCGCAGAAATCACTCCTGCAATTGTCTGCTTGAAGCGGAACCGCCTCCTAGGAACATCAAGAGGTCATTCCTTGATTACGTCGACGACATCAGACAGTTCACTGACCGGACTTCGGACGCAAAGAACTACAGACAAGCACTGACCGCCATTCACAGTGAACCCATTAACACCTTCATCGACTCCCTCTCAATGAATGGCGTAATACGAGTCAAACCACCACCCATTGCAGACACAGAGCTCGAGTTGCCTCGCGAATCTAGAGTGACCCTCGCGCAACTTCGTTCTGGATATTGTAGCATGTATGTGTCCTGGGTGCAATGTTTCTGGGAATTCCCGTTAGATGACCTCGACGACAACCAAACTATCACTTATCATCCAAGCGGGGACTAGATAACCGTTACAACAACAACCACAACATAGATATATAAATAAACGATTGGGCTATGCGTTGCTGTGGTTATGGTCAACATTATACATTATTATAATAAGCTTACTGTATTGAATGTAAAATTATTTACGAGTAAAAACGACAACATCATTGCCTGTTTAAAAACTTAAGGAATTAAGATTTAAACTTAAAATCTAAATTTAAAAGTTATTGCAAACTATCTTTTGGATCAAACTGTCCATAATCGCGGGCTTTGGAGT